TCTATTAATTTATTAAATAACTCGTCTAATTCAAATATCTAATAATAATAAATTCTTAGCATGAATAAACTCTTTTTAATCTCTCCCTCTCAATTCTATTGCATGATCAATAAAATGTCTTGATTTATACCTTACTACCAAAAAATTCAAACCTTCCATGACAAATAAAAACATTTACTGTATCAAGTATGATTATGAGATTTTTCTTTTCCAGGCTCAGGACCAATTAGTAACAATATTCATGGAGTACAGTCAGGTAACAATATTCAAATCTCCTAATAATAAGCACTCACAGCATTTAAAAATTTTAATCCTTTTCCTAATGAGGCAACTTTGGCATCAGTTCAAACATAAGCTCAATTGGCACTGTGATTTTGAAAGGGATGAACTTCCTGTCACAGACCCATGTAGTTTTTCTTTCAACAATACTATCATCTTCTAGTTTATCTGTAAAATTTACAAAACAGTTTCACATCTAGTATTTCAAATCCTCCTCAGGATAACATAGTGAGAAGCAGGGCATTTTCTAAAGGGCTATTATGTCCCAGGCATTCTGCTGACAATGGGATAGCTAAAAGGAAAAAAAAAATGAATTCTACCCTGGAAGAGCTTGCAGTCTAATGGGGAAAAGAAACAATTTCTATAAAATGTGCTAGAATAAGGACAGGGAATTACAACTCCCCAGAAGTACAAGGGCCTAACACCTTCTCTCCAGGGAAGGGGGTGGTGGTGCCCCGCCCCAAAGGCGGCTTTGGTCAGATCACATGCAGCTTTGAAAGTGATCTGAAAAGTCAGACTTTTGAAGGATGTGTAGGAGTTCCCTGATATAAGTATGGGGTGGAGGAAAGGAGAAAGACACTTCCAGGCAGAGGGAACAACATGTACAAAATGGCTAGTGATGAAGCATTATTCCCATTTTAAAGATGAGTAAGATAAGCTCAAAAGGTGAGTGAGCTGCGTAAAATCACATGAATAATAACTAATAATGTATGAAACAGAATGCAGTCCTTCTGATTTCAATCAGCTTTGTACACCAGAAAATGCCGGTTAAGTGTTGACAAGAACATCAGATAAAGATTAATTTTTATCTCCTATTTATACCTTCCCAAAAGATGGTCCATGTCTGACCAAGCTCCTGGGGGGGGGGGAGCGGAGAAATGACTGGAGAAGGGGATTTATTTAATTCTCAAATCAATCCTGTGAGATAAGTATTTTTATTATACCCATTATACCCACAAGAATACAGAGGCACAGGGACGCCTGGGTGGCTCAGTCACTAGTTAAGCATCCCACTCTTGGTTTCTGCACATGGGCACTCTCTCTCTAAAATAAATAAATGAAATCTAAAAAAATAGAGGTACAAAAAATTAAGAGAAGATTCAAATCCAGGTGACTAACCAGACCAAGCCTCCAAACTCAAGCACTTAACCAGACCCCACAGATTCTACTTTGCCAAAGAGCCCTACATCATTCGGTCTAGAGATACCAAGGAGACCAAGTGAGTTCTGGGACACATCATGATCCCACAGATCTCACACTGTACTGCACATCTCGATATTCACAAAAATCCTCAGATTTGGCTCCCTTACCAATCTGAGGAGACCAAGCCTCAGATTCTGGTCTCCCCTGAGCAGGTAAACCCAGGAACAAGGTGGCATGGGCTCTTTCAGCAACATTCTTACATTCTGATTACAAGCAGATTTAATTAGATGAGAGCAAACTTAACAAAAAGCAGTAACCAAAAAGACATAAAATAACAGCATGAAGCTTGGAAAGTACAACGAAGAAAGCTCCAACCCCTCTCTTTAGCTTGTGGGGGGCGGGGGGGACAATGCAAAAGTGCTCCAGGTACTAAGCATACCTGCCACTCACTGCAGGGCAGTTCACACCAAAGGATGGAGTCTGTAGTACCTTAATTTCCTTTATCAAGGGTTCATATGACAACTCTAGGACTTCAATAACCATGCCTGCCTCTTGAATATTAGGGAAGCTGACCATTTGTGGCCATGGTTTCCTAGGGCACTAAAACGACTTCAGGGAATTGAGGATCAGCATAGAAGACAAAATATTATCAGCAACACTGGATTTGCTAATGTTAGTTGATTGAAACTGACCACAAAATGGGTTTCCAATCTGTCAATCTGGTTATTTCACCTTGTGAAGGATTTGAGAAAATTAACAAATACTGGAATGAAACCCCTAAAGAAGGTTGTAGACTATTATCTCTAGAACTTTAAAGATATGTAAATCTAATCTGTCCTCACTTTTTGCTGGTAGCATTTGGAGTTGAAGGGTCCTATCCAGGTTTAGGAAAAAAGATGCTCCTTTGAGGCTCACTTTGAGCCCTATGGAGCTCTAACTCTCCAGATTAGAGGCTCTGAAACAGCAGTCTGAAATCTGCCAGCACATAACCAGTCTAATGGGTACTATCAGGCTATCCTCTGAGGTCTCCCAGTATGATGAAAAGGAAAGCTGATATGGTTACCCACACCCTCAAGCTGCTTAGTATCTTCATTGTCAGAATCACCACCATCCCATTTCTGTGACTTTAGCACCTGCTAATGACTCCTCCAGCCCTCCAGCCCCCACCCTGTAAAACCCACACGTTAGTTTCAGGGAAACAGAAAACAGCAGGTCTTCACAGAGTTCTGAAGGTCAACCAGCTCTGGATTATACCAGCCAAAAGAAGGGCAAAGAAATGGAGAGGGAGATGCAGAGAAGCTTCATATATAAGTATCCTAATACACTTTTTCTAAAAAGCAGATAAGTGACCTGAGCTATAAGCCGAGCAATTCCAAAAGCAAGAAATTGACTGAAATAACAAATACGATACCCCAACTATGGTTAAAGTGGTAATATCATTCCCAGCAACTGGATGATCAATCTCCAAATCTGGGTAGGGGGTTGTTCTAAGGCACAAAAACAAAGTTGTGTTTTTGTATTTGTAGGTATGAGTTTCACTCACAGTGATATCTCCTATTGTGATATCTTTGCTATGGAGCAGGTGAAGGTGCAGGGCAGCTAAGTCCTTCTGGGAACAGCCTAACCTAACTCTCAATTCCAAGATGTATGTAGGGTAGTTCCATGGTATAACCTGCAGCTCTATAAATCAGTGAGGCTCCCTAGCATCAAGTGACACTAAAATGTAAAAGTGATAAAATTTGGAAAATTAGACCAAGGGGGGGAACTCTGGCCCATTTATAGCTTTCCCAAATGTTAAATTAGATATATGTAAATATTAAATATAAGACTTAATCTGAAATTTGAAGATTTTATACCCTAGAAAGTAATTTTATTTTATTTTTTTAAGATTTTATTTATTTATTTGACAGAGCGAGAGATACCGAGGGCAGGAACACAAGCAGGGGGAGTGGGAGAGGGAGAAGCAGGCTTCCCGCTGAGCAGGGAGCCCAATGTGGGGCTCGATCCAAGGACACTGGGATCATGACCCAAGCGGAAGGCAGACACTCAACCGACTGAGCCACCCCGGCGCCCCAGAAAGCAATTTTAATATTGGGAACTTAGATATAGACAAGATCTATTTCTTTGATATCATTTTCCAGGTTTTGAGAACCGTACTCACGATCTTAAGTTGCCTAGGACTACTTCTGGGAACAAAAAGATGACAAAATTTAACATGTCTGCCTCTGAGATTTAATAAAATCTCAGTACTTGAAGAGGGGAGCAAGTTGAAAAGAGCAAAGGGGGAGAATCCTAGCTCAATTAATAATATCACTATTCAGGAAGAGGAAAATTTTACATCCTGTGCCAACAAAGAGCACTGTTAGCCATTTTATTGCAATTAGATTTTCTTCTTACAAAGTAAAAAGTACTCCTCTTACTAAGGGTTATTTACCTGAAAGATGAAGCACATTTCCATTCTGAGAATAATGAATAAAGAAAATGAGGATGATTTCTTACAAAAGCAAAAATAAGTTTTATTGATACATCTTACAAATAGCAAAAAAAAAAAAAAAAAGGCGTTTCCTCTGAATAAACTGTGAAAAAATTGTAACTCTGACGCCCAGAGTCACTTTTTAAAAACAAATGTCCAAATGACTGAATTCAAATGGTCTACTGTAAATCTCAGAGCTTCTGAGCAAAAATTTTGTATTAAGTCAACTAATATGGCTCGCTCACAAAAGTAACAATTAAATGCATGAGAAGGAAAGGAATTAAGTGGGTTAAGGGCGGGCTGGATGACTGTGTTTTGAGACCTGCTCACAGGAAGCCACTACATCCTGTCTTAAGTCCCTGTCAGTCACACAGTCTCTCGATCCAAGTCCCCGCCGCAGCGAGGTGGGGCAAGTACAGGTGTCCGGCCCCGAGCCCCTCCCGGCGCGCTCACTGGCGAACACCCCGAGCGGCGGTCACCAGAGTCCCAGGGCGGCCTGTTTCCTCCAGCTCAGGGCGCCTTTTTCAACCTCGAACAGGCTCGTGAGCCCAGGAAGCAGGCAGCCCCCTCCCCTCGGGCCAGCCCCACTTCCCCGCCCTCCTCCTCCTCCTCCTCCGGCCGCGCCTCCCGTAATTACCACTCGGCTCCCACCTCGGGGCCGCTCCCCGGCGCCCGCACCGCCCGGAGGCCTGCGTCCCAGGGCGGCCGGAAACTCCTCACGCCCCCGGCTCACGCCCCCGGCTGGGGCGTCCCCACGTCCAGGCCGCGCCCCAAAGCCGAGCCCCTCAGGCCGGCGCTGCTCCGCGCGCCCCCTCCACGCAAATTCCCGGCTCTCCACTCCCTCCGGACAAGGGCAACCCCAGCCCACGCCGCCCCGTCGAGGCGACGCCTCCCCCAACACACCCCCCTTCCAGCCTCACCCGTGCCGGCCCTCCCCGTGCGCCTCGCCCGGCCCCGGCACGGGCCCCGTCTGCCCAGGTCCCCTCTCCGCCCCGCGATCCCAACACGGCTCCGCGCCACCACCCCCGCACGCCCGCCGCCCCCTCAGCCCCGCAGCGGCCCCCGTCGGCCGCCGGGTGGGTCCCCCAGCCCGGCCCCCGCTTACAGATCTTGCCCCGCAGGCTCTGCAGCACTCGGACCTCTCGACTGTCCTCGTCCCCGGCCCCGGGCTTAGCCGTCGCAGTCGCCACCGGCGCCTCGGAAGAAGCCGCAGCAGCAGGCGCCGCCGCCGCCATGGTGCCGCCCGGCCCGTGCCGCAGCCCCGCCGCCTGCGTAGCCGGCGAGGCGGAGCCCAGCGGCGGCCTAGGCTGGGGCGAGCGGCGCGCCTGGCCCCGCCCCCGGGCCGCAGCCTGGCTCGCCCGCCCCGCCCCTGTCCCGCCCCCGCCCCACCCGGGTCCCTGCAGTCGCCGTCCGCCCCCCCACCCCCAGCCCCAGCCCCACCCCCACCCCCACGCTCAGCCGCCCCGAACCCGGGCCGCCCAGGCGCGAACCGAAGTCCTGGCTTTCCTGGTCTTTGCCCCATAAAAGCCCAGGCGCTAGCCAAGTGCGGCTCCAAGTCGTGGCTCTGAGCAGCCCTGAAACCCCACGAGGGAAAACCTCAGCCTTCTCGAGATCCCCAAATCCTTCTGGGAATTAGGCTCTCCACCACAAGCCGACTTTCACAGCTTCTAACGCTCGAGGGAACTCCCTGTGGAAAGAAAACACAATGGAATTTGACAGTTGAGAGGACCTCACAACTACCTTATTCAAAAAGAGCCAAGAGGTGTATTAGAGATTCCCCAAATAACATCCGCATGCTTCCTACCCGCAAGCCACACCACCACACACACAAATTTTCACTTTAAGAACACTGCTCTGCAAAAGCTGGTTCAAAAAAAGGATCATAGCCCCCAATTACAACATGAGAGCAGCACGGGAGAGCCACCCACGGAAAAATTCTGAAGCTCTTACCGTCCCTTGTGTATTTTGGAAACAAAGAGCAAAGAAGGATCGGGTCCCATCCCCTCCCGCCCCCTCAGTGGGCTTGCTAAAAGGTTGATTGACACTAGGACATTCGTAAATCTTTGACTAGTTGTTAGCTTTATTTCAAGGGACCTCTTTATAGTGAGTAAACTGCATGAATAATACCCTGGTATGAGATGAGGAAGATGATTTCCTGGTCTTGAGGTTGTTAACTGCACTGCCCTAAGAGGAAAGAAACTGTGACTTAATAGGGCAGGGTAGTTGTTTTCCAGGGCAACAATAGGAATTATTCAGTCTGTCAACAAATACTTTTTGAGGGTCAGACTTAATGATAGCCTCAGAGAGCCCCAGCCCTCCTCCAGCCGCTCAGTCTGGGAGAGACACAGAGGCACTAGAGAAAAGGACAGAGGCATAGAGAAAAGCCCTTAGATGAGGAAACTGGAGAGTCAGGGAAGGCCTTCCTGGGAAATGCACTGAGGAGTGAACTGAAGGTCAGCGGGGAGAGGCACAAATGTGCCAAGGAGGAGAAGTCACTTGTGCAAAGACTGGACAGCCAGGAAGAACGGCCTTAGTCTGTGCCTGTCGCTGAGGAGTGACACTGCCGTTTCCATGTGTGCTGTGGGGGACCGCTGCGTGACTTTTACACTTGTTGGCGAAAGTGAACCTACCTCCTCTTATTTGGATGTTTTGCTGTCATGTCAACAAGAAGTCCCAAACTGAACTCCCTATCTTCCTTTGCAAATCTGAGTTCACAGCCGTGGTCTGTTACCTGGGCTAGAGACTCAGACTCTTTTTATAATCCCTTGCCCCTATACTGTTTTCAGAGGCCACATACTTCTGATTCTGCCGAAATCGCTTCTCTTTCTTTTCTTTCCATTCCCTGTCATTGTACTTTTTAAATTCATCCTTACTTGAGTAGTGTCAACATGTTATGGGGGTTTTTTTGTTCATTTTTTTTTTTTTTAAGATTTTATTTATTTGACAAAGACAGCAAGAGAGGGAACGCAAGTAGGGGGAGTGGGAGAGGGAGAAGCAGGCTTCCTGCTGAGCAGGGAGCTGGATGCTGCAGCGGGGCTCTATCCCAAAACCCTGGGATCATGCCCTGAGCCAAAGGCAGACGCTTAACTGACTGAGCCACCCAGGCACCTCTGTTTTTTGTTTTTAAAAAGGCATGAGCTTATGAGGCAGCAGGACTTACGTTGGAGCTTAGTTCGACCACTTTTACATGTGTGGCATTGAGCAAATTCCTCAACCTTTTTCTTTTTTTTTAAAATATTTTATTTATTTATTTGACACAGAGAGACACAGCGAGAGAGGGAACACAAGCAGGGGGGAGTGGGAGAGGGAGAAGTAGGCTTCCCGCAGAGCAGGGAGCCCGATGTGGGGCTCCATCCCAGGACCCTGGGATCATGACCCGAGCCGAAGGCAGACTCTTAACGACTGAGCCACCCAGGCGCCCCATTCCTCAACCTTTCTGAACCCGTTTCTTAACAATAAAATGGGAATGCTATACTTCTTCTCCCTTCTTCAAAGTTCTACTATCAGGATGAAATAATTATTGAAAGTATGTGTGTGAAGCATCTAGTAGAATCCTGGGCACGTAGTAGGATTAGCACAGTAAATGTTATCTCATGCTCTTGACTGGAACGCTTATAATAGATCTCTCATCTCTCTCATTCCTCCTACACATACCACTTAAATTAATCTTCCTAAAGCAAAAACTGGAGTTTGCCACTTGGTCTACTCAAAAAAAACATCAATGGCTTCATTCATTCCCTTCACGCAGCAAACAAGCAACACTACAGGTCACAAAGAGTGCTATAAACAACCAGAAAATAAAGTTCAGATTTCTCAGGCAAGTGCTCAGGGTTGATACTGGGCCCAGGCTACCTAACTCCCTGTAGCTCCAGCCACACTGAGCCACTTTTCCCACCAGCCCTCTAGGAGTGACTTTCCTCCTGCCCTTCCAAATGTTGCCTCATCCATGTGTCTCTTTCTCTCACAGACGAAGGTTCTTATTTGTACCTTTTCGTGGCAGTGATCATTTTCTGCATAGCATTATGTATCTGTATACTTGTTTATCTCTTCTAGATTCATTTCTAACTCCCTCAATAAATAACTGTTGAATGAATGGATTGAATCATATTAGTCCACTTACTTTATCCACTCTGCAGACTTGAAGCTCTCCTCTTTTGAAAATTCTATTTTCTATTACTCATTATCATACCTGTCCAAATGGTTAAAATAGGAATGGGAAACTTTAGTAGGAGCCTGTAATTTGAAATTAAAAGCTGGTGTTTAAAGGTTTGTTCCTTTCTCTAAAATATCAATATCCAAGGGACCCTAGGTGGCTCAGTTGGTTAGGCGTTGGCCTTCAGCTCAGGACATGATCCCAGGGTTCTGGGATGGAGTCCCTCATGGGGCTCCCTTCCTCAGCAGGGAGTCTGCTTCTCCCTCTGCCTGTCACTCCCCCTGCTTGTGCTCTCTCTCCCTCTCTCTGTCAAATAAATAAAATCTTAATAAAATATCAATAACCAAAAACTAAAATAAAATATCAATAACCATACCAGAGGTGCCTGGGTGGCTCAGTTGGTTAAGCGACTGCCTTCGGCTCAGGTCATGATCCTGGAGTCCTGGGATCGAGTCCCACATCGGGCTCCCTGCTCAGCAGGGAGTCTGCTTCTCCCTCTGACCCTCTTCCCTCTCGTGCTTTCTGTCTCTCACTTTCTCTCTCTCAAATAAATAAATAAAATCTTAAAAAAAAAAATAGCCATACCAGATTCTCCTCACTTCCCTTCTTTTTCACTAGCTTAACCCCAAGTTCATAACTCCATTACTAAATTGTTAATAAAGGTATGAAGGCAATTTTACATGAAGTGACACTCCACTTTTTTTTTATCCCCTGACTTCCTGTTGCAGGTTTCAGAATTATCATACTTTTTCACTAAGACCCAGAAACTCCATTTTTCCTCCATCGGAAATCATTCCTAATTATTCTAATTCTGAATAAATATTTAAGGATGTTAATATTCCTTTACTGATACTGGCCTGCTCTGCAGAGATCTTTAGCAGAATTAGTGTTTCCTTAATGTAAAATATTCGGGAAATAAAGTTTCGTGAAGACCAATGAAATTTACTCACAGTACAATTACAAGAAGTCTGTCCCATCTCCCTCCCTTTATTGCCTTTACACTGTGTTTTAAATTCATCTAGAGTTCCTCTCATTTCTTCATGATGTTTTGCAACTGGAACAATATTGCATCATATACAAACTTGCACTTCACTTCCTTCCCCAAATTATTAATGAATGTGTTTAACATCACTCCTATCTCTACCCCCTCCATTCTGATGAGCAACCATTCACTACTATGTCTTTTCCTATTTCTTCACCAGCTTTTAACCCATTGTCATTTTCACCCATAAGCTGGCTTGCTTCATGGTGGCTGAGGTAGGGAAACTGCATTGCCTCTTAAGAAGACTATGTCCTGCAGCGAAAAACTAATTTCAGAACTTGTCAGTTACACAGCATCGTTTTGAATCAGCACCCTCCAACCTATAACATGGCAATGTGAGGGGTATCTCCTGATCCTGAGTTATTAATTGCCTTCTTTCTGGTGAGTCAGGGAAGAGAAATATGCTTTCTTTTAAATATTTAAATGTAGATGATTTTCATAGGTCTGTACACTCATGAGACATAACTGTTTCTGGTGGATGGGTAGGAAGGCAAGTTCTTTTGGTCATTGATGACTTGATTTCCTCATTCCCGTCATTAGAGTACTGCTTGTATATTAAACTTTCTGCACACAGCTGCATTGTACAAGCAGCCTCTAAATCCAGTTTGCACTCTTCTTTTTTGGATAAAGTTGGAGTAGAGGAAGGTGAGGCGAGAAGTTAGATATTCAGGGTATTTTGCAAAATATTCAAAGTGTACCTTTAACATTTTACCTTAAGACCAAACAGGACTATAACAAGGATGTGTCCAAAAACATGGACAAGTCTTTATCCTAAAGCCTCCAGCTCTTGCATTAAAAATATTTTCACATTGGGGTGCCTGGGTGGCTCAGTTGGTTAAGCGACTGCCTTCAGCTCAGGTCATGATCCCAGAGTCCTGGGATCGAGTCCCGCATCGGGCTCCCTGCTTAGCAGGGAGTCTGCTTCTCCCTCTGACCCTACCCCCTCTTGGGCTCTCTCTCTCAAATAAATAAATAAAATCTTTAAATAAATAAATAAATAAATAAATAAATAAATAAAAAATAAAAATAAAAATATTTTC